ATAGTTGGAGTTATCCTCTGCTGAATCTGTCTGAAGACTGACACTCCAGAGTGTGACAGATTTCCACCTCAGCGGGATACAGGCTTATTTCTGGCTTCTTGGGTGCCGCCGACTTGGTCAAAGCTAGTCGCAGGGTCGCCGACTGGTCGCAGAGCCACCGATTGGTCGCAGTCGCCGACTTGGTCGCAGAGTCGCCGACTGTCGCAGTCTTGATCGCCGACTGGTCACAGGGTCGCCGACATGGTCACAGAGTCGCCGACTGGGTCGCAGAGTCGCCGACTGGTCGCAGAGTCGCCGACTTGGTCGCAGGGTCGCCGACTGGTCGCAGTCGCCGACTTGGTCGCAGTGTCGCCGACTGGTCGCAGTCGCCGACTTGGTCACAGCTAGTCGCAGGGTCGCCGACTGTGTTGCAGGGTTGCCGACTAATCGCAGAGTCGCAGTCGCCGACTTGGTCACAGCTAGTCGCAGGGTCGCCGACTGTGTCGCTGTCTCGGTCGCCGACTGATCGCAGTCGCCGACTTGTCGCAGAGTCGCCGACTGAGTTGCAGGGTCGCCGACTGGTCGCAGTCGCCGACTTGGTCGCAGGAGATCGATAGAGAGAGAGAGACGACAGTGCGAAATAACGAAAGAAGAGCTATCCGCTACAATACGTTAAGACATAAAGGAAGACTCACAATTTGGGTAGGGGTGTTAGCTCCAAAGCCAAGGCTGAAAAATGATAAATTGTTTATGCAACCATGTATCCATACAAAAATCCATGTATGGCTTTGCCCATGAAATAAGGAAAACGCCAACTTATTTGGTCAAAGGCCCAGGTCATTGTCATCTCAAGAAAAAGGTTTTTAACATAAAATAAGTTTTTAGTTCTTGAGCAAGTTCCTTGATCAAACGTTGTGTGTGGTACTTGAGTAAGAAAGAAACAAACATATTTTAGTGTATATATAGTTTAAAGGTCCAAGACAAATAGATTAATAAGCAAATAATGGTTTCTGCACACACACAAAAAAAAACAAACAAACCAAAAATAGTTTTAATTCAAGACCACATATTCTAACCAAAGGTCATTGAAAGCCGTATGGCTAATGATCACCGGAATCAACCATGACCCACTAGTGCTTACACCGAGGACAATTTAACACAGGGCAGATGCTTGATGTACTGTTTACGGTACTCTTGCTGAGTTGTAAAACTTTATAGTTTTATTAATAGTAATTATATTTAATAGAGAAGCAGCACCATTTGTACAAACCAAAAATTATTTGATGCTCTGATTCTGTCCAAAATTGTCAAATTTGTTTGTAGTTTCGGAGAAAAAGTTGTTTAATGTTGGTCTTCGTTTTGTAATATCAGCCATATTTGAAGCAAATCTGTATTGTTTATACAACAATGATTTTGTACAATTCTGCTAAGTGTTTCTTTCCTTCAAAACAATAATTTCTTAAAAGTTATTTTGTTTTAATAATGGCAGCCACATTTACTGGCAGAATGGCAACACATTTAAACAACTGAAACACATTTATGCAGGAATTTGGTCCAATTTAAATTTTTTAAGAAGTAATTTAAAACTTAGTGTATATTTTAGTAGTGACACCCGTATTTGCTGGTGAGTAAGCATTATTGCTACAAATTTGAAAGTCCTTCGCGCTAGCATGTTTTCTGTCATTTATTTTATAGAAAACGTTTAAGTTATTTGAAACACTAATCATATTTTGTGGCACATCAGCACTTATACACTTCAAAGACAATACCAGGATGTTTTCTGTCAAAATGGCCAAATTCCACCTTGTTTTTGTAAATAAATCATATTTCTATTTTTAGTAATAGTAGACAAATTTTACGGCAAATTAGTATCATTTGTACAAATTTTGATGAGTTCTGTTAAATGTGTTAATATTCTGTTAGGTGGCTTTTGAAAAGTCAGGGAAGATGATGAGATATAGTCATGTAGTAAGCAAACATCTTTTATAACTTGCCAGTTTGTACGTTTCCATTGCAGTAGCTGCCATCTCTGCTTATCAGGGGAAATGAAGAAATAAAGATAATTTGGATCCTTGCAATGTTACATCCAACACTAAATATTGGACTGGACCTTCTATACATTACCACATCTCACACCACAAGAAGCAAGACAGTGATTGAAAACAATTTGAGCATGTACAAATATCCAGAGTCAAACTGTTTCTTGTCCATCTAGATATGGGGTCACAAATGAGATTACAATAAAACTTAAATAAAAAAACAAAAATAAGATAATTTCCAAAGGCATTGGTTTCATTCTGCAGAGAAGGGATCCAAGCCAGAGGTGAATGAATATGTCTGTCTTCATGACTATGTGGCACAGGCGCAAGATGACCTCACTGTCACAAGAGGTGACCTTGTGTAAGTCATCAAAGAAGATCAAAATAGTGAAGACTGATACTGGTGCTATTCTAGAAAATATCCAAGATACGGTTATATTCCAAACTCTTATCTCAGAACTACAATTAAATCATTTTTTAACACTTAGTTTTCTATTTATGTATTCAAACGCCAGTCTACTCAAATGTTTGACAATAACTAACAGTCTATTCAATGAAATTAGTCATGATTGTATTACTTTTAACAAAATCATGCTAAAGACTAAATGTTATTAACTATCCAAAACTGTATGTTCGTGTAAACACTCTGTTAGGTGGAATAATCCAAGGATCACTGGTTAGATATCCACCCAGGCTAATCAAGGTTGATTATATCAGTGTATCCTTGGGAAATGCACTTGGATCCAATGTAAAGCTAATTAATATGCTGTTTTCATGGAAACCAACCATTTATCCATGTACTTAAAGGAATACTACTGTTACATAACTTTACATGGGACAATTATTTACACAGAAGTTGGATGATTTGGCAGTATTTCGGTGAGAATAAGAGTGTGTAGTCTGAACACTTACTGGGATTAAAAAAAGGTTTATTTTAGGTTGCTATGGATACCAAGTGACTTAAGGTGATTATGAACATAAATTTACAAAACAACTGACTCTGAAGCTCTGCAGCATAAGACAATAGATACTCCAAGGAACACGCTGTTATCAAACTTTAATTTAAGCATGTGAATAGAACATAGCAAGTTTTTAACAGGGTAAAAAAGCAGATGTGTGAATAGTCAAAACCGGGTTCGATTAAATCTGATAATTTAAATCGCTCCCAAAAATGCTCCAAATTAATTCTTTAACTTTTGTTATACATAGGTTTTATGACATAAATCACAAAGCTTTATGTCTTACATTCAAATACCACGTGTACATAAAAAAGTTGGATTGACTCAACTAATTGTACTAGCATGTTTGAGTTTTAAATTATCAAAATATTAAAAATGTAAGACTAAGTTTTAAAAAGCACACATATGATGATAAGAAACAATTAATTCTTAATTGTGTGTTTGAACATTTAATTAAATTTTTTGTGTTAAAAATGCTAAATAAAGCATGCGTGGCTTCTTTCAATTTCGATTATATGATAGTTGTGAATTTGCGATTCTCACTTCATTTTTCATCAATATTAGAATTTTAAAATCAATGATGTTGTGCTCAGTACTTCAGTGGTACTTATAAAGCAAGCAAAGTCTATATAAGCTTCATATTCGTTTGGTCAGGTACCATTAAGAAGCAAAGCCTTGGTTGATCTCTAGACCTTGGAATTGGTAAATCTCTATTATTGTTTGTGCAATGCCTAGAAAAAAAAAACATAACGTGTCTCAACAGGATTGTCACTCCTGGGAAAAGCTGGGTGTTGTGTGATATGGAAGACTTGTAATAAAGAATTATCAGTGCATTTGAGACTACGGGCACGTCAACGCCTTCAGCGCTGGAATACCACTGGAATTGAATTAGAACTTTATTCACTAGGACTGGCGATAAGGACTGGTGATAAACCTCTTTGAACTATTGGGGATTTAATTCACATTACCTTATTTTTAAATTCTCACTTTGTATTCTTGTGAAATAAAAATTATTTGTTGAATCTGACAAAACTTGTTGTATTTCACTCTGCTCTATTTTGTAGTTTAAGACCATAGAGTTGTAATAAAAGCATGAAAACAGCATTAGTCCTACAAGTAGCCCACTTCAATTGTGCCACTAACACATGCTATGCATTGCCCTGGATACCAGCCAATATTCTCCAAATAAACTGAGAACCTAAACATATTCTTGTACAAGATTTTTTTAAATCAGGAGTTTTGCAACTCTGATCAAAACAGGAAGACTGAGGAAAGACAGTACTTACTGCGACATATTTAACAAAACACAAATTAAACACTTTTTAAGATGTTGATAAATTAATTAATTATATATATATATATATATATATATATATATATATATATATATATATATATATATATATATATATATATATATATATATATATATATATATATCTTTGAAAGTGATCTGTTTACTTCAAAAGGTCTGAATCCAATCTGTTTCATGAGCTAATACCAGAAAAGTTTTCTTGTGAGTGCAATGGACTGATTATATTCTGAAAGCTGAAGATTATTTATACTGTAATCTATTGTTACTATTTATTGCTAGATGTCCCACTTCAAGAACTAAGGTCTTTTGTTAAAGATTTTTAAAAAAAAAAAAACTTGACCTGACTTGCTGAAGGCAATTTTGAATTGCCATTTTCATGTATAATTTGTCTCAAGTAAAGATAATGCTAGATTATCAGGAGTAGATACAATTTGCAGGCAGTCATTTAATCTTATTCAACTAGTCATGTGGTTCCATGAGCTATCCGCTATACAATGATCTGGTAAAATGTTTCATTGGTTATGCAGTGAAGTGCTGAGAGAAGTGTTTTTGTCAAACATCTTGAAACAATAAACTACAAATAATTACATTCTTTTGTCTCAAAACTTATCAAGGCAAACGTACTGTGATCACACAAGCCAACATTATATTGTAAGCCTAAAGAATATAATTAAACTTGTTTCCAGCCGACTCCGATGCTGATGAACTGCTCTGGTGGTCTAGTGATTAGAGCGCCCGCCTCAGATGCTGGAGGTCGTGGATTCGATCCCCGGTCGAGTCATAACAAAGACTTACAAAAATGGTACTAACAGCTGCCTCGCTTGGCGCTCAGTATTAAGAGGTTAGTGTTAGGACTTGTCGTCCTGGTGTCAGGATAATGTGACTATGTGGGACATCATGCCAAATGTCTGTGGCATGATGCCCCAGTGCTAGACATCACAATAAACTGCAACACTGGACATCATAGCGATGTGACTGAAAAATTGTTAAAGCTACGTTCAAAATGATGACATCACATCACTGATGCTGAGGCATCACTCAATCAGCAAATCTGTCCATGTTTACACCATTAGAAACCAGCCAACTAACCATTCAATCATATTATTATTGCAATACATCTTTGCTACAACATATATTACACAAGTGATAATTTCCTATAAAGCCAGCTGTTAAACATTTAATGGTTTCAACATTTTGACCAGTACATTAGAGTGTAGCATAAACAGTTAATGGGATTAACTGCTTTATTTATGTTGCTACGGATGCCAAATAGTTCTTACGGTTATTATGAATACAAACTTTAACCAATTCCTGTGAAAACATTCACAGAACATTCAAACATTCATTTGAAGAAGAAGAAGAAAACAAAAAAAACAAACAAAACAAAACAAAACAAAACAAAACAAAAAAAAAAACAACGAGAAGTACTAATCATAATGCAGTATAATCTACATTTTCAGTACTGTAGCCAATTTGGTTTAAATATGTCCGTGACTTTACAATTATATGACTTTGATCTATATTTACTCCAATATGATCCTAGCATGGAATATCTAATTTGATTTGTGTCCTGTACATAAATTGTCACACGAGTAAAATGGACTTAGATTGTATTTTGAAAGCTAAAGACTATTTACCATACATAGTTGCTTACAAATTGACTGCAAACAATATATACCCTAATTTACCATCATATAATTCTCTGGTAAGTAGTAGGAGAAAGTAAGAATCTGAGCTCAACAACCCCTCTCCCCACCCCTCCAGACCTCCAAACAAATACAAAATACCTAGGTAACGTAATAGAACACCTGTTACAATCAATAATTGCGCTAAGAATCCGAGCTCAACAACCCCTCTCCCCACCCCTCTAGACCTCCAAACAAATACAATAGAACACCTGTTGCAAAATATCTAGGTAACAGGTAAAATTTAATTACGTGATCTTCCAGAATAAGCAAAATGATGTGTCAGACTCAATCTTCCAAATCATTACGATTTAGCAGAGCGTGGCGATTGTGGACTAAATTAAGCATTAGAATTCCAGTAAGGTAAGTGGTATTATATAAAATTTTATGTTATATCATACTTCTTTTGATAATCTTTCTCATATTTGCTGATCCTCATGGGTAGAATATCTGTTAACATGTTGTCAATAATACGAAATTCACGTATTAAATCGTCCATACTATATTTTACTCCTCGTAGGTAAGATCTTATTTGATCAAGTAGTTTTTTGTAAGTTATAATTGATGTTAAGCAGCCGTGCTTTTTTATCGAAATTTTAGGTTCAACTTTTTTACAAGCTGCTGTAAGAGAAACACCAACACCGGATAAGATTAACAAAAACGGGTTTAATGATATACCACTTGAAATTATGCCAGAACTAGTCATTAACAAGGGTAGATATGATATTACTCGAAGGATCTTGTTATAATATTTGTAGCATTGTTTTACGCACCAAAGTTTTTTGTGATAATATTTGTAGTATTGTATTAGTGCGTCAACATCCTGTCCTGGAATATCTTTTGACATATGATTGAAATCAACTATACTTTTTTTCATTATAATATTTGTTCACATAATCTCAGGCTTGATTAAGTAACTAGTTGAGGTGTTTCAGCCACAAATTCCAGACAATACCAATATGACGCAGCAGTTAATTTTTTGTCATCTGCTATTAGCATAAAAGTTTCTTCAACATCTTTGTTTAACACAATAGACACGGTTCCAGAGAAATTATCAGTCGAGTGACGCCATGGAAATAAGGTAAATATATTGAACTTTACACTGCTAAACACGGACAATCTATACACACCAGTGACCTCTGCAGTATGTTTGAGAGTGTTATTTTGCGGCGACCAAGTAGACATTCCAGAAGCAACTGTATAGACAATATTTTTAATCTGCTTGTGAGGAATTTTAATCATACTCGTTTTCTCAACAATACTAGGAATTCCACTAATAATATCGTTGAGTTTTGTGTTAATATTATCGAGTGTAATATCAACAGATGGCGGACTTCCAAAAAATTCGTTATTGGTTTTGTTTATGTTTCTGCGAAAATTTAAAAACGTGGTGATGTGATTAGTAAAATCAGTTTTGAACTTGGTGATTTCATTGTTGATATCATCAACATATTTCTTTGTTACAGCATCAAAATCAAACTCTGGTGTTCTAAGGTTAGTAATGCTATTATTGTTCATGTTGAGAAACGCGTACATTATACTACCACGCACCGACACGTACTTTGATTCCTGATCATCAACATATTTCTTAGTAGCAGCGTCATTATCCTCAGTTGGGTTTCCAAGGTATGTGATTTTGTTCTGGTTCATAACAATGTTTCCCGTAAATAAATCACCTGCTTTTCTAACATAATCGTTAACTGACCTACCCGAATCTTCTATCTTACCTTGATTATTAAAAGTAACAATATTATTAGCAACTGCAGTAGGATTTCGTACTAGTACATCTGATAGTTGTACATTACTCGTCTTTAATCGTCCTTGTTTGTCCAGGAAAACTACAACTTCATTTGGATCTACACTTGCAACGTTTAACAAATTGTTGATTTCATTTTTGAGCTTATCAAGAGTCGCATACTTGGATAAGTCACCCTGGTAACCTTCTGTTAATAAATCTACTGCTAATGTTCCAAATTTTGTATAGTAGCTCATTATACATACCGTTCTACACAAAATTGTTGGTTTAATATAACATAAAATTATACGATGGCGAAGATAATAAACTTTGACACCGAGCGATTGGTGAAGCATAAACATAACAATGAACTTCCAGACTGTCATTATCTTATTGTTAGCGAACTGGATCTGGTAAAACAAATTTGTTATTAAATCTTTTACTCAATAATAACTTTAACTATGATAAGGTGTATATTTACACCATCAACACCCAACAAGACAAATACAAATTATTAAACGAGTATAATGATAAACTTCGTGATGAACTTGGCATTGGTGATGATATATTTTTGATAAAACAACCAGAAGAACTCGTTCCAGTGAACGAACTCGATTCGTCAGAGCATAAGATAATCGTCTTTGATGATATTCCGCTAAACAACGAGGAGATGAACAAGATTAGATCATATTTTTCACTATCACGTAATAAAAGATGTAATTCTGTTTATCTTGCCCAAGGTTTTTATAATGTTGATAGGTTTATTAGGCGAAATACGGGTTGTTTCATATTATTTCCCGGACTAGATAATGTGGATGTGAGAAATATTGCAAACGAACAATGTGGTGATGTTACAAAAGATAAATTTATCGAATTATATCATCGAGCAACTAAAGATCGATATAGTTTCTTTTTATTTGACAAGCTAGCGCGTGATCCAACCAAGATGTTTCGTTGTTGCCTTGAGACGTTTCTATGATATAATTTTGTAAAGCGTATAAAAATAATGGACAAACATCAACAGAAAATCGAATTACTAAAAAAGTTTCTCGAAACTCGAGCGGCTTTTAAGAAAAAGGTGGAAGAAGCTCGACGTGGACAAGTCCAAGCAGAAGAAGAAAGAACCAAATTTTTCAAACCTGTTACTGAGGCGATGCTTGGCAAGCAGCCAGAAATACAAACATCATCTCCAGAAGAACTAGCAAAAATGAAAGAAAAGGGTTTGTTTGGTTTACTTGGAGAAAGATCAAAAGAAGAAACTGTAAAAATTGTAAACGAACTTGTAAGAAACATTGCTGATCCTGCTGCACGACAAGCTGAGTTTGACAGGCTAATGAACAATCCTCTTGAACTTCAACACGCAATAACAAGATTGACGGTTAATCCAGATGAGATAAGAAGTATGATGGAAAAATTATCAGAACAAACTGAAGAATTAACTGAGAAACAAAAATTATTACAAGAAAGTGTGATAAAAATGGTACCTTTTGGAGAATCTATAAAAATTTACAGAAGACAAGCTAGGTTTAAAATAGAATATGATGAGTATGAAAAATTTATTGAAAATAATAATATCATTGATATTGACAAAATTCGAACTTGGTCAGACGAAAACTATAACGATTTGATAGAAAAATTAGAAAGAATTAAAGAAGATGGCTCACGTGCTGATGATGATATTAAAGATGAAAAAGATGAAAGAAATATTCCAACATTACTCAATTATATTAGAGAAGGAATTATTGCTGAGGTTTTTCTTAAAACATCAAAACAATATCGAAATAAACCAGGAGGTTATAGTAAAGGTTGGGATTTTATAAGACTATTCAAAAAATATGAAAACAAACGAGATAAAACATTACCAGAGGAAAAAATGGAGGTGGAGTTAAAGTTTTTACATCAAACGCAGACATAGTAGATCGGCTAATGCTGTTGATATCCTCTAAAGAAGCTGGTAATGAAAGTGTAGAGATTGATAACGAAATTATTGATATACTTGATCATCTAAGATCGAGTGGATTACTAACATCATCCGAGTACGAAATTTTACACCGCGATCTTATCTAAAATATTAGTATAATGCAAACAACATTATTGCTTGATTCATCACAAATAACAGGAAACAGCGCGAATTTTACAGTAAATTACAACCCACCAATAGAACTAGATCCTGCAAAACAGTATGAGATTGGATTAATTTCTTGTACTTGTTGGAACGCCATGCCGAATATTAAAACTGGGGTTAATGATGAAATTTTAATCGTTAATGTTAAACAATCTCCAACATCACAAAAAGAGTTTATTGATATACAATACAAACTACAGATTCCACAAGGAGCTTATAACATTACTGATCTAAACAGAAC